GTGTTGAATCACAATTATAGTACTCGGGTCTAAATAAATTAATGGAATACTTGTATACTAAAATCGATAGCCAACTTAATCATTACAATTAATTTAGTGGTACCTATCCCACAAACTGAGTATCTATGTAAAAACATTCAGTTGGAACCGTTGAACTTGAAGCAAGATCTAACTCCTCTATCTTCGAAATTCGGAAATTATAAAAGATCTAGACCAGAAGCTGTTACATTTGCAACAAGAAGAAAGAAATGAACTTAAAAGTTATTATTCAAATATGAACACTTGTTTCCAGAAATTCCTACAAGGACAAACAACAGTGTTCATGACGTTGAAATTGTTGACTCAAAACCTGTAAAACAACACACTTGCACGATGAATCCTCTCAAACAGGATTACTTGATACACGAAATTCAGTATTTGCTGGAGAACGTTTTCATATAGCCTAGTAAACGTGATTGGAGTTCACCATGCATACTTTTTCAGAAACTGGTGTTACGTATCGACTCGTTCAAAGTAAACTACAGGGTCGTATCACAGGATGAAACTTTCCGTATGTGCACTGATTATAGGAAGATGAACAGCGTGAGAAAAACATATTCATTTCAGTTACTAAGGATAGATGATTGCATTGATAAAATTGGACATGCTAAGCACCTCACCAAATTTGACCTTCTAAAATGATTTTGTCTTATTCCACTAACGGAAAGAGCTAAAGCAATTTCAGCCTTTTGCGACTCCAGATGGACAATACAAGTACAAACTAATACAGTTTGATATGAAGGGTTCTCCAAGCACGTTTCAACGCTTGAAGAATATGATTACTTCCGGTCTAAATAAGTGTGATGTTTATATTGATGACGTCATTATCTACAACGAAAAGACATCTAACCACGATTTAGAAATTCTTTGAAATACTCACTGATGCTAATTTGACAATCTATCTATCCAAAAGTGAGTTATGCCGTGCTTGTGTGACTTTATTATGACATATGGTGGGACATGGTCAATTAAAACCTACTGACACAAAGGTGAATGTTATCTCTGATTTTCCTGTGCGTGTCAATAGAAAGCAATTAATGCGATTTTAGGGTATGGCCGGATATTATCGAAAGTTTTGTTCAAAGTTTTCCAGTATTGCTGAACATCTGACAAATTTGTTAAATAAGAGAAATAAGTTTCTCTGGACCGAAAAATGTCAGAAAGCTTCTAATAGTTTAAAATCAATACTCAAAAGTGCGCCAGTTTTAACAGCTCCAACTTTCAATCAGTCTTTTAAATTGTTTGTGGATACAAGTAATGTTGGGGTTAGAGCAATATTAATTCAAGAAGACAGTAATGACATTGATCACCCAGTGTGCTATTTCTCCAAGAAAATAAATAGGCACCAAAGAAATTACTCAACAATCGAGAATAAATGTTTAGCTTTAATTTTGGCATTGCAATTTTTTGAGGTTTACATAAGCTCAGCTCCTTCTCCGGTTGCTGTGTATAGTGATCACAACCCCCTTACTTTCATCGACAGGATGAAAAAAAAAAATCAAAAAATTATTAAGGTGGAGTTTGTATTTCAAGAGTATAATTTGAGTATGATTTAAATATCAGGCACATCAAAGGAAATGACAATTTGTGCAGAAATATTTTTTATGTGCACATAAAATTCCTAAGAAATTTCTTATGTAATATTCTTTACCGCATGTATAATTTTCAGATGGTAAAAAGAAAGCTTTATTATATAAATCTTTCTTTGTCTTTATGGTGGAAGTGTTACGGATATGTGATTCAATTGATTTTGTGTAAGGTTTAAAATTATTGTTATTTCATTTTTGTTTCATTATATTTAATTGCATTTAATATTTTTCTCAGATTCGGGATTCTATTTCAGTAGTGAAATATTTTATCATACAGTTTGTTTACTTAAGACGAAGAATTGTTACGTGAGAATTATAACTGAGTCCATCTTAACCTGGTAAAAATATCAACAGGAAGTTAAAATGATTGGTCAGTTTCATGGACATACTTTCTTCGCGTGATCAATGTTTGTAAGCACCATTTTTATGATTGTCTGTTAAGTGGAGTGACATTGGCCTACATGTGAAAATTAGCGTAGTAAGAGACCACATGACCAATCTAGGGAGACTTTAAATGAAGTCTGTAGTTCTAAATACGCATTCCATATATTTTTCAGAGTCATTCAAAGCCTTGAAGGAATAAGGTGTATTAGTTTGAATTTGTTTCCATAATATTTTGATCTACGTCTGATTTTTGAAATTAATTATTTATTTCCCTAGCAACTCAACAAGTTGACTTTTCTATAAAAGTTCTGAATGATATTCATGGAAGTCTATTCTGGAATTATTCTGAAACAGGTACTAATTCAAGTGAAAAATCATTGTTATTCATACAGTATAACACATCTGACATCATCGTCTTTCAAATTTGTTCGTCGTCGGGACTCGAACCTGGATTCGTATAGGTATATTTAGTGATATTACTTGTGTTTTCATCTTAGGATCACATTTTGGATTATATTCACAGGTTGTAAGTCCTATTTACCACTTATTACATTATTATATAGGGAAATAAAAGTGGTTTGTTAAAATATACAAAACTTGTTGGCTTGCACTCTTTTCTTTGTTACAGAATACGAATAAATAAGCAAATATATTTAACGAAATCTCTATACAGAATTGTCTCGTATATGATAAACTAGATAGTAGCCCAAATAAAATACGCACATATCAGTTTTATATATTAACCATAGTACATAAAACAGCTGATAAGTCACTACCTTTAGAATATCCAGGTAGACACATCATTTATACATGTAGTGCAATTAAAAATAACATATCGCAATATATTGATCATATTTTTACAACCACTGATGAAATCATTACCTTCATATGTGAAAGATACTTTTAATTTCATTATCATTTTAAAATATATACCGAAACTAGATGAAAATTCATTCATGGTTACACTTGATGTGGTTTACCACAAAATGATGGTATCGAAGCGTGTAAATATTATCTTCAACAAAACGAATATAAGTGTAAACTATCAAAAGAACATGATTGTAACTTGTTAGAATTTATGCTGGAAAATAGCTTTTTTCAGTTTGGTAATACAAACAAAATTTGGGAACAGCTATGGGTAGTCCTATGGCACCTTCTTATGCATCTTTTTTTATGGGGAAATTAGAAAATGACTTTCTAAATAAAAGACTTAAAACCAGATGTATGGTTAAGATTTGTAGACAACAATTTTATGATTTAGAATTATCCATTAGAAGACCTATATGATTTTATAGACTGTTTAAACAAATTACATCCTACAATAAAATTTACATTCAATATATCTAAAACTAAAGTATAATTTTTGGACATAAAAGTCGTGACAGATGACAATAATGACATCGCCACAATGGTTCATGTTAAAAACACGAATATTCATCAATATGTTGAATTTTCTTCATGTCATCCTAAATCATGCAAAGACGGGATACCATACAGTCAAGCTAAAAGATACAGAAGAATTATTTCGGATGACACTAATTTAAATCATTTTTTGACAGTTAGGTCAGCAATTTTTTTAAAACATAAATTACCTGATTGACATTAGTAATACTGCTTTCCAAAAATTATCTTCTCTTGCGCAATTTAATCGTTACATTTTAAAATCAAAAATAGAAATGAAAATAGTATTCCTTTTATTATTAAATTTAATCCAAGTTTTTCTAATATTGGTAAGATTATCAATAAATATTGGGATTTATTAAAATTATCACGAAAAGCAAGAGTTAAATCGCTACCCGAAAGCCACACTTGCTTATAAAAGGCCTAAAAATCTTAAAGATTTCCTAATTAAATCTAAATTAGAAAAATATTACATAAAAGGAAACATCAACTAAATGTAATAGACCTATATGTCTGCACTGTTATTTTATTAATGAAAATACTTTTTTAATAGTACTAATACAAACGAAACTTTTGATATGCGTTGTGATACTAATTGTGCAACATCAAATGCCATTTATTTGATCACATGCAAAACGTGTAGCATACAATATATTGGAAAAACAAGCCAACAAATATGTAAACGTATGAACCAACAGACATAAAAAAATTATATCGATCATGCATTTTCTTCTCATGTTGCTGCACATTTTAACAAGTGCTGCAAGAAAACTCCTTTCAACAGGTTAGAGAATTTTTGATTACCACTTGACGGAGATTTGAACCCAGATAAATGGCACTCATCGCCTTGCCAACACACACACACAAGGTTATATTCCATGACGACTTAGCACGCATCGCCAATAAATGATGCGACTAAATCGGAGTTACATGAACTCGTGCGTAGCAGATAAACTCGCATGGCGACCCAATGATTAAATCCCATCTATGTATACAGTCATTCCGGATTTCTCTCAAAGAAATCAAGGTAAGTATATAGGATTTATTATAGATAAATATAAATATACACCAGACAGAACGCACCAGGATACCATTTCTGCACATCTTGATATCGCCCCAGTAATTATTTCTCATCTATATAAACCTATGGTCGGCAACGTTTCATAAATAGAGTGCCACTTTTTTTCCGGATTAACTACAAACAGAGCAGGCATGTGCCACCAATAACAGATACCATCGTTAAAATTGAGATAATTTGGCTGCCCTTTGCGTGCCGCTTAAAACCTCTTCACGTGCCATCTTGAGGCAAGCTTGCCTTAGGTTGCCAACCCCTTAACACTATGGTTTAAGTATATTTAGGTTGTCAAAGTCAGGTGATGTGATTATAAATTTTAACTTAACTTTAACAATTTGTTTTAGTCATATCGCTACGATGTTTGCAGTGAGGCAGTTTATAGTGATGTCGAGCACTGGGGCATCATGCCGCAGACATGTAGCATAATGTCCCAGCCAGTCACATTATCCTGACACCTGGCCAACCAGTCCTAACACTAACCTTTTAGTACCCTTTTTAGTCAGTCTTTGGTATGACATCATCGGGGATCGAACCCACGACCTCCCGCATCTGTGGCGGACGCTCTAACCACTAGGTCATCGGAACGGTTGCTGTTATAACGAGTTAGAAATATCCACTATACACATTGGAAAGTGACATCCCTAGATCCTGCAGGATGATGAGTGATATATAATGTAAATATGGACAGAATAATCGTATCATACAAACCGAGATTTGAACCAGGGTATATTACAGCTTAAATATGTATTTAGCTTTAAACAGAGTAGAAGATTAATATGTTATACCGGTATTGAAGCATATGTCAAAGATCATATGATTATCAGTTTCATGCCAGAGACGTAGTGAACTGTGATAAATGCTATTTGGTCTTGCATTATGGAAAAAAATATGCCAGACTTGAATATGTTTCCTTCAGCAAAATGATGGATTTCTCTGAATGCTGCAGTTTTGGTATACATACAGTAAAATACATATAGATAATACAGATCGTGAAATACAATCTGCCATTAGAAAGACAATATACATGATTTAATGAGGTCAGTAATTTTGAAGTTGATTTAAAGACACTCAGGGATACTTGTAATTTACTGATGCTAAGTGACTTGGAAATTCAAATAATTTAAAAGGCTTCCAATGACAGAACTCAATGAATAATTAGAAGTCAGTTCAGACAGAAAATGTCAATATTAATGGAAAACCAGAATGCAGACACTCCTTTTCTTGCAAATGGATTTATGTCCACAGATCTTATATACACTGAAATCGATTGAAATGAGCCGCCGTACTGTATTACTTAAGCGATTCATTGGATTATTTATGCATAGAACATTTCGAATTTAATTTAGTGTTTTTTTCTTGGCGATTAATTATCTAAAAAAAAATAATATGTAAATTAAGACGACTTTGCTATCCTTTTGATTTTTATGTAGTTATGTATATATAATTAATTGTTTGTTTGTTTTATATTTTTTAATTCCATTATATGCTATTGTAATGTAACATTGTTGACTGGTTTTGACATTATTTCCTGATATATTTATTCGTGTGGTACTAATCGTAAATTAATGAATGGCGATTCCACGAGTTAAAATATGTCGTGTTTATTACCATAAAAATACAACAGTTACTAACGTCGAAAATGCATCTGGTATTAAAAAAACAAGAATATCGAAAGAAACTCGCTCGTTGGCGCATTTCGCTCATCCCCACCCTAACCACGTCTTCATAAATTGACCTCACATTCATAGTCTGTTTGATATTCATGACTTCAGTTAACCTAATATGTGGCAGTAAATTATATTCTTATCATATTCTTATCATTTTGTAAACTATTTGACCGTATCTGAAAACAATTCAAGTCCGATTCAGCAATGTGTCACAGCGGTTTTGTTGTTGTCAAGGAAGGAAATGAAAATAACTTCCGAGATAAACGAAAGGCGTCTGGTCAAATTTCTCTTCCAAAAATTAATTTTCATATCTGAAATGTATGTCAGTTTCTATTTATTTGTTCTACATTACAAAATACGTGTATTTATTGCTGCATTTACATTTGTTGGCTTATACAATCAAGTACCTGTAGACATGATCAAATATATATTATTTTCAGCTGTAACAATATATTGATATATTTTTCACCTGTGAAAATAGAGGAATAAAATATACGAAAATAATTTCGCCACTAAGTCTCCATATTTCACACATAAGCAAATGATAAATATAAGGGTTGAACAATGTTGTGCGGTTATATTTTCTAGAAAAAGAACTTAACTAGCCCCAATCGTTTGCTGTTGGTCAGTAATGAAATGTTTAAGGCATCTGTGACAATGTTTCCTTCATAGATATAATAGTTTTTTGAGCGCCTGATGTTTATTCAAACTTGCATGAAATTAATTTTCTAAAGCAATATTGCATCGGTGCGTTGGTAAGATGTATATGAGAAAGCAAATAAATGGCAAGAAAATTAAATTTTGTTAACCTCTTTGTTCCTTTTTACCTATGCGTTTGATAAATGCCCGTTATAATTCTTCCTGATTTTAGTGTACACATTCGGCCAATCCAAAAAGATTCTTTGGATTTCCTACATTTTGTCCTTTATGCTTAGTTATGGGGGGATACAAGTCAGGATTACAACATTGATCGTATAGTCTGGGGAAGAGAAATATTCCGCCACTGGGCTCCTTTCTACGTTATTAGTTTGCCAGTCTGAAAAGTGGAGATTCATTCTAATTTCTAATTTTTGAGTTTCGAAATGTAAAAGATATTACAGAAAAAGGGTAGTATATTTATATTCCGTATCTTCACTTTGGACGGGCTAAAAGCTGACGCACGTAATGTTTATAACAGGTCGTCACATATTTTATGATTAGCGACAGATTGAAGAAGGATATCTCTTGTATTGACTTTTCATTCCTAAATGTACGCATGCATTTAGAATGGAAGCTTTCTGTATGTTTCATTCTAGTTAAATACTTTAAATTCTAGTTAAATACTTTAAATTCTAGTTAAATACTTTTACAATTGTTAATACCTTGATAATTGTTTCAACAATTTATTAAGCTACGTAACACAACAGATGAAGCCATGTTAGCGGTTTCATAATATTTACTAATAAATTAGTTAAACCGACAAATCTTTAATTTTTCTTTCCAGCTTTATGAAACAGATACCGGAAATTATTAAGTTTTTCCAAATGACTTTTCATTGTGACTTTGCAGTTAACGAAAATTTATCGGCACACTTTAAAATGCAGCCACGAAAATAACTCATGAAATAAGAAACAACCCAAGTCAAAAACTTATCCAATACATTCTATTGCATAATCCTGAAGATAAGCAACACTAAAAGTCATGGTTTGAAGGCATTACATGATTTCATTCTAAATCAAACCGTTATTGATCTATTCACGATGAGTGTATCACTATAAATAATTATTATAAAAAGAGGACCAAAATAAAAGACCTCTTTTGACAAAAAGATGGATAATTCCGTCAGGCAAGAAACAATTATGTCTCCATTCTTCTAAAAAATTGCATGCTCCTAATGAAACATTAAAAAAGGAACAGAATAATACTTCTTTCAAAATATAGCAAATGCTCAACCCACATGTACAGTATTATGTATGCATCACAAATGGTGAAAGATATGATTACGATTGTATATCACCGTTAATCTCTTCCATACTATATGTATATTGTGTAATTAAAGATGAGGACGTCTATGTATACATACATACCTAAATACATACCTAAATACATACATACATACATACATACATACATACATACATACATACATACATACATACATACATATATATATATATATATATATATATATATATATATATATATATATATATATATATACGCACGCACATACACACATACATACATACATACATACATACATACATACATACATACATACATACATACATACATACATACATACATACATACATACATACATACATACATACATACATACTAACATACATACATACATACATACATACATATATGTATATATGTATATATATATGTATATATATATATGTATATATATACATATATATATATACATATATATACATATATACATATTATATATATTTATATATATATATATATATATATATATATATTTATATATATATATATATATATATATATAAATACATATATAAATAAATAAATAAATACATACATACGCACGCACATACGCACGCACATACATACATACATACATACATACATACATACATACATACATACATACATACATACATACATACATACATACATACATACATACATACATACATACATACATACATACATACATACATACATACATACATACATACATACATACATTACATTTTTATGTACGAAAGGTTAAAACAAGAACTAAATCATAGGTAACAAATGTGCCAAGAAATGTATTATCATAAAGTCGTATGTCAGCAAGATGCAAGATACAGTTTATTACAGACGTTGAAAGTCAGTAAGATGCAAGATACAGTTGGTTACAGACGTTGAAAGGCAGTAAGATGCAAGATACAGTTGGTTACAGACGTTGAAAGGCAGTAAGATGCAAGATACTGTTGGGTACAGACGTTGAAGGGCAGTAAGATGTTAGATACAGTTGGGTACAGACGTTGAAAGGCAGTAAGATGAAAGATACATTTGGGTGCAGACCTTGAAAGGCAGTAAGATGTAAGATACACTTGGGTATAGACGTTGAAAGGCAACAAGATGCAAGATACAATTGGTTACAGACGTTGAAAGGCAGTAAGATGCAAGATACCGTTGGGTACAGACGTTGAAAGGCATTAAGATGCAAGATACAGTTGGGTTCAGACGTTGAAAGGCAGTATACAGAGGAAGATACAATGTGGTACAAAAACTGTATGTCAGCACAGAGGGCATGATCCTGTGAGGTACAGAAATCGTATGTTATAATTAGTATAGAGAGCACCATGAAGTTGGGTGCAAACATTGTATATCAGTTTGCAAGGCAAGATACAATTAAGCATACAAACTGTTTGTACGTACGTTGGGCAAGATACAGCTGGGTATAAACATTGTATGTCAGCAATACAATTGGGTGCAGAAATAGCATATCTATTTTAAATGTTATCGAAATTAAGTTAGTAAGAAATTTAGTAGGCGAATATAACGCTTAACAGTTAAAGTTTTCCATTTGTGCATATTGCATCAACTGTCTTGGTGGATTTTGGAATGAATTGCATCATAATCTAAGATGCTTCATCACACTACAGACTCATTTGTCCCATTGACCTATAGGTCAGTAGGTCATAGTAAACATTATTTCCATTTTTTGCATCACATATATTAATTAATAAGGTTATTAATGTATTGTGTACGTAACTGGAATGAATCGTTATAAGCTCAGACAATACATTCTATAATAAACACCCTTGCCCATTGATATTTGGTAAAATGTCAAGGTCATGTTCAATTTTAGCCAAGCATTCATTTGCGTATGTTTAATATTTTATGGACTTATTCGTAATTAAAATTAATTATTAGGCAGATAAGGAAAGTTTGGTTGGAG